TGAGACCAGATTTGTGTATCTTTTCTTTTTTGATAATCAACTTAGACACTAAGTCATCATATAAACAATTTTTAAAACTGCACTGCAGTGTAGGCTGTTCATGTTATGTCACTCTTTACGTCTTTACTAAGTGTTTAAGTTGTAATCCTATTAATCCTAGTAAATTAACATGTAGAAGAGTTTTCCAGTTATCTACCTATTGTTATAGTGAAAAAAAAAAAAGTATTTTGTTAGCTCTTTTTGAAAAGATTGTTGGATGTATTCAGTCATTTTTCTAATTTCATTTTGTGAAATATTTGCTTAAAAATTATATTGTATGTGATGGACTGCAATTCTACTGGGGAAGTAGGTTTTTGAAGTATTTTCTAATGGAGTTCTATTGACTTTCTTGCAGCTGGACAAGAGAGATTCAGGACATTAACAAGCTCATATTATAGAGGAGCACAAGGAATCATCATGGGTATATATATGTCTTCTTTCTCGCTTGGTCTATTGTTTCTTTATGCAGAGAAAATTATGTTTAAAGATTAAGGAATTTTTGTTGATAATGTTGCTTGGATTATTTGTCATTATCAAACTTTTTTTTCTGATTGATCTTGCTGTAAAATGCTAGTTTATTCTTGGTTCATCAGAATAGTACATTACTTTATGAGGAACAGTATTATTTTTGGTTCAGTTATATCACTCCTTGATGTGCTTATACCATGGGAACTAGTGTATAATAGATGATTATAAATTTTCAGTTCAATGTTTCTTTTCTTTATCTTTTGCATAGTCAAAAAATTGCTATAGACTTGCTTGAGCTCCGTCGTTTGTTTATGATGTGATCACTCATGTTGCTTCATGTGATGCGAACAGTATATGATGTGACAAGGAGGGACACATTTACTAATCTCCGTGACATATGGGCAAAGGAGATTGATCTCTATTCGACTAACCAAGATTGTATCAAAATGCTTGTTGGAAATAAAGTTGATAAGGTACTTGGTGTCTCTCATTTTGCTTGCTGCTTTTTCTTTATGTTCTGTTTTTTCTCCTGTCCCTTTGAATGCTCCCAGATCCCAAGATCCCAACATCTTGTCTAATAGAAAGAAAATGAGTAAACCTAAATTGAAGAAATGCTGTTTAATTTATAGTGATTTACTTTGTCATCAAGTGTATGCTTCTTTAATGTTTTTGGGGGCCTCAGTGCTAGGAGCTTCATTTAATAAATGCCTACTCTTTTAATGAGACATTGATTTAATATTCCACAACAAAAAAGGACTGGGTAAAATAGGAAGATGATTGACTAAGCCCGAGTCCAATCTGTAGAACTAAATGTTAATGTTGCTTTGACCCAAGTGAGCTGCGTTTTTTGATATTTCTATTTCTGAAGAACCTATTTTGAGAGAACTTGTATTGATGTACGTTTAGTCAAAGCCAAAAAAATTGAAAGGCACCACAGTTCTTAAACTAATACGTTCGTATGTTTGTCTTTTCCTCCCTCCACCTTGTTTCTTTCCCCTGCTTGCTTTAGTTTCTCTATCATATTTATGTTGGCCTTTTTTTGTACAAACCTTTTAACTGGATGCTTTATTTTCATATTTTGAAAGGAAGTTCTTATTCCATTGTACCAAAACTAGAACAAAGGTGACTTTTGGACATTAGACAACTGCATAGGTGTCGTTAGAAATGAAGAGCTGTCAAACAAGTCTAATTATTCAAGAAATTGTACTTGCCTTGTCACTGTAGTGTATGTTGTTGCTAATATGTAAGTCGAGTTGTTATGTTGTGTATAAATTGAATCACCAACCTTTTATGCTATCTTGTTAGGAAAGTGAGAGAGTTGTTACAAAGAAAGAGGGAATCGACTTTGCTAGAGAGTATGGATGCTTATTTATTGAATGCAGCGCAAAAACTCGTGTAAATGTGCAGCAATGCTTTGAAGAGCTTGTATTGAAGGTGAGGTTTTCTGGCTGTTTTTTCATTTCATTTTAAATTTTTGCGCTATGATTGAAGTAATTATATCTGCATCTTCTTTGCTGACAGTTATCATCAACTTATGAATTCCTATACTGCATTTGTAATCAGTTGGTATAATTTCATCCATTTGTGTTGCCTCTTATTAAAATTTTGGTGTATAACACAAAAAGGAAGGAATTTAGGGTTTTCACAATTTTTTTCTTGTGCCGACATATGTTGCTGCTTTTTGTTCCTTGTTGAGCCAAAGATCATGCTTACAGTCTGGTGCAAAACGGCCAATCAGCAGATATTTAGGTTGCATTTGGACATGTACTAGTGTCTGACATAGTGACCCTAGCACCTGAGTTAGTAACAACAAGAGCTCACTTTCATTTCTGTTTTTTGTGTCCGTTATAGGCCTGAGCTCTTTATTCTAACACCCCCCCCCCCCTAAGCATATAATACTTTATTGTTGAATGATGAAAACATAAGATAATGATGAGAATTATTCTGGTGAAATGCAGGTTTTAGACACACCAAGCCTTTTAGCTGAGGGCTCAGCAGGAGTAAAGAAAAACATCTTCAAGCAAAAACCACCCGAGGCTGATGAATCTGCAAGTGGCTGTTGCTAATTCTGTAGGTTTTCACTGTAGTTCTTTGCGTTTTTCTTCTGGGTGCGGTTGGTGGCTGGGTGGTTTCTTTGTAAATGTTATGCTTCATAAACTGAAATTGGAACTTGTAATGTTGAATTTGTTTTGATCTTTGATATGGTTAATACTGACTGGTCATGCCTCGATTTGAAAGTTAGTGCAGATACCACCTTGGAGGAATGCAGAAATACGCATGTATTTCCATGCTAGTATTCTTAGCGTCATTGCGTGTTCCACATGCACCGCTTATTCTTCATTTTCTGTTCTTTTCTTTGATGGTACAGGTAGTGAAATGATTATATGTAAAATTGTAAGGCAGTTTTGCCAATGCTCATTGGAATGGACATCCACCCCAAACATGTGTTTTCCTTCATCAATTTCGTTAACTCTTTAGTATTATTGGAAATTTATGAAGGGAAAGAGATATTTGGGAGTGGATAAGCTTGCAACGAACACTGGCATAAGTATGTCCTTGAAAAAATTCAGAATATATCGATTTAGTTCTATTGCCTCAACTTATAGTCTATAGACAGAACATTGTACGTTAATAGAACTTTTTGTTAAATGTAATCTATTACTTGTATGTTTTTATCAACCAAACAACTATGATTCGACAATGAAAAAAAAAAAAAAAAAATAAGTGGTAGAAAATCAAGTGGGACTTTAACATTTGGTGGGAACAAAAGTTTACTAAAGTAGGTAAAGAGAGATAATTAATGAGTTGGAATAATAATGAAAAGCTCCATATATAGTAAGATAAGCATGGGACATAGTCACATAGGTAATTACTTACTGTTTAGTTTGAATAGAGACATAGGCCTGAATTGGGTAGGAAACATTTTTTGGTGGATTTGTGGAGCGTGTTGTGGGCCCACTAACAAACATAATTAAAAATAAAAATAAAAATAAAAATAAAAACTTTGCTCTAAAGGAAAGTGTGACGTTGATAGTCAAATTTCATAATTTATATTGCAGGAGTATGGTTGAAAATGAACTACCATTTTCCCCATCTTTTTATTTGCTTTTTTGCACTTTATTTAGTTAGTACATGACTGCTAATTGGCCTAACTTGTGTTTAATGTGACTAAATTAGAATTATAATATTTTTGGGATATTTTATTCTATGATAGAAAGTCGGATGATCAATATTTTTTAGCAATATTGGTTTTTAAAATATGGTTTTCATTGATTGAGTGATATGCGTAGAGCGAATCTGAATTAGTAGTTTATGGTTGTACTTAATTAATTTGTATGAGATTAATAAAGTATTTGATTAACTTTTTAATCATAGATGATTTCTCAATTACTTTAAAAGGAGTGGTTTAAATACACTTGAAGTGATCTAGTAAGACAACTAATCTGCGTGTAACTTTATTTATTTTATTTTATTAAAAAATGTTAAATAAGAAATAGAGAATAAGAGATAGAGATAGAGATGTGTTATAAACTATAATCTAGATTCACTTATGATATTAAAAAAGAGCACGTAATCGCATCTCCACAAATGAAGAAAAGGGTACTAATATGATTAGACAATAGTTAATGTCTTTTATAGTGCTTTGATTAGCCAATAGATGGAAAATTGTATATAAGATAGAAAGGTCACGAGCACTCTCAAAATAAAGTTATTTTATTCTTCTCAATGTGTTATCACAATATTGGAATTTGGGAGTAGTGCTAATCCCATTAGTATGTCACATTAAAAAATTAAATTCTCAAAATAGCATGTCCTTTTATGAGGAATAGTGAATACTATAGTAACACACTCTAGATATAGCATTTATATGTCAATCTTTCATAGTAGCATGTGTATCAATTAGTGTTTACCTCCTACATGTTAATTTCACAATTGATTTTTATGGATTTGTCCATCGTGAGTTAACAATTCATTCATTCCTCCATAAACATATAAACATATAAAGTCATCAAAGGGAATCATTTCCTTTCTTTCCTTAAAATTGTGATTAAAAAATTATTTACAACAATAAAACTTGTGTTATGCTTCTCAAGAAACTTATTGAAAAAATTTAAAGATGATACTCTTTTGTCATGGACTTAACTCGAAGATGGAGCATGGTTGGTGCTTCCATCTTCCTCGTGGTTGTCAAGACCTCTATTCTCAATTGAAAAACTGGAAAAGTAAGTAATATCTAGAATCAACAAAAGAACGTGATCAACTTTTTTATAAATAAAAATACTCCTATAAAATTCAAAAAACAATTTCAATATAATTTTTTTTCTCTCTATCAATCTTATTTACTAAAAATTTCAACTTCCAAAATCCATTTTCATTAGGGCCACAAGGATTACAAACTTGCAAAAATAAAAAAATTTACACTGTCTTCCTTGACCTTTTCATTCCAAACATAAAACTATTGGCCCCACATTTATAACATAACATGATCCTAACTACACATGTATTGGGTCCTTAGCCCACATGGATCTTAGCAGCTTTAGCAGCATCCTGGCCCGACTCTTGGCCCGCCCACTACACTGGCTTTGTAGCAACAACAACAATTGTGTCAAAATTCCACCACAAATTGCTTTTTCACTAACTTCCAATGATTCATAACACAATTTCATTAGACAATTTACTGCACTTTCACTTCCTAAATCATCTCCTGAAACTCTAAATACCATCTTAATTAAGGCCTCAATCCCATCATTAAGCACCTCTTTTACCAAAAATGCTTGTTTACCACTTTCTAACTCTAGCACCAATTCTAGTGCCTTTGTTGCCTTTGGTGCCAAGTCCTTGTGATCTTTACAATTTTCGACTTCGACAATGTATGTGATCAATGTATGAACTACCCCTTCTTTAACCAAATTTTCGCGGTATGGCTCGTGTGATGAGCTTGATACAATGCTTAAGATGGCCTTAATCGATGCCTCTGCGAGCTCGGAATTTTGTTTATAATCATCAACATAACCAACCATAGTTTTGAGTACTTTTGTGTCATTTCCAATCTTGGTTGCTAACTCTTTTGTTGCTAAACTTGATTGAAGAAAAACTTTCTCTATAATGTTGCACAATGTTGTCTTGATCATACAACTTCCTTCTTGTAGTAAAACTTTGAAATTTTCAAATTTGGAATCTTCCAAAAGCATATTCAAATCCCCTAAATCAGAAGATTGCATCAATTTTATGGCACAAATAAGAGATTTCTCCACCAAACCAACCATTTCTTGGGTTATTTTTGCACCAAAAATCATCCCCAAAATCAATGAGAAAACCCCCATTTGAATTAAACCCCCATTTTTTCTTGGCAAATCTTCTGACAACAATATAATTTGCTCTAAAACTTGTATTTTCTTCTCCAAACTGGAATCCTGAAATTCAAGAATATGCTTTAATGAAGAAAAGGAGACATTTTTTGAATTACCCACTTTGTAAAAATCATCATAATAATCATGATTAACATCATTAAATTGATGATAATTATGACTACCCTTAAGATGCCATTGTTGAATTAAATGCTTAAGGGTATGATTAGGCACCATTGATAAATCTTGAAGCTTCTGCATTGTAACAGGACATGTAAGATTCCCAGCTGCAAGCCATTTCTCAATTGAAGGCCTGTCATAAGTTTGCCCTGTGCAAAGAGTCACAGGATCATTGAACAGTTCTAGACTGATTGGACATGTGAAGAATTCTGGGATTGACATTCCAATTTCTCTCATCACAAATTAGAAAAAAAAAGGGGGGGATTTTTATTATTATTTTGGAAAAAAGAAAAAATAAAAAAGGGGGTTGAGTAACTTAGGGCTAATGCATTAGAATATAGTATGTTTATTTATATAGTAACGCGAAAGCGTTAATATATAAATCGATTCACTAGTGGAAAAAACCTCAAATGCTACGGCCTCATATTTGAGACGGGTTTTAAAAAAAAAAGGTGATAAGGGGTTGAGAGAGGGGATTTTTATTGGAGACAAAACACATGAGACATGGGAGGGAAATGAGGGAAAGTAAAAATATTAATCAAAGAGAGAAGGAACCAAAAACAATACATCAAAATTTTTAGGGGGTGAAGGGTAGAGAGGAGAAGTGGGGGTGTTTTTATTATTGTTATGATAGTGGGATAGTCAGACTATATTGCATAGATTAGGATTATTGAAAAGGTTGGTCCACACTATTTAACATTTCCCTCTATATGTTCTTGCATTCGTCACTAAGAGAGGTGGGAAAAATGGACAAAAAAAATTAAGTATAAATTAGTGATAGTGATGGAGGCATAATGACCCCACTTAAAGGGAAAGGGTAATTGATGCTATCTTTGAACTTTGAATCAAACAAACATGTCATTAGTACAGATGAAGAATACTCCTTCCGTAGCGAAAATATACTTCGTATGTCTATTTTTTTTTTTTTTTTTTATAAGAGAATTTTTAAAGCACACTAAATTTTATTAATTAAAGTCACACGACATTTACAATTGATAATTAACGATAATGAAAATGAATTCAACAAAATCAAACAAGAATTAATCGGGGAAGGGCTAAGAATCCAAATACATAAATATAACAATTCGGCACATTCTCAATTCGTTGTCTCATACAACTTTTTGAGTGGATCTGTCGTTGCTTCGCAATTTTGTGAGAAAGTAAATTCTTGTGCTGATTCCGTAAACCGAATCCGAGTCATAATCAATCGTAGCCCCGCACAAGCGGAGACCAAATTAAACACAAATAAAACCTTGTCTTTCGAAGGGGTCTGAAAAACCTTGTATTTCAAAAGAGTTTGAAAAAACCTTATCTTTCGAAGGAGATAAACCCTAGGGAGACATTATTATAACGTATGAAACAAAAAGGTTAAAAGAAAATAAAGATTGGGGTTTTTCACCGGTGAAATCCGATGGAAGCCCCTTCAAAATTGACAATGGAGGCTAGAGTTTAGGAGAGAGAAGAGAGAGAGAGGAGGCTAGGGGTTTTTTTTTTTAATTGTAATTTTCCTATGATACTTTTTTTTTTTTTTTTTTTGGTAAATCAGAAATTTTATTACCAAAAGGAGAAGATTACAACTTATAAAAAGCTAAGTTGAAATCAACAATAACAACAAAGATCCTAGAGGCCCAAAACCAAACCCCTGCAGAAACAGGCTCTTATAGCCACCCAAACAGAAAGAAGCACCAGGCCACCTTCTAGGAAGGTTTTTTTTTTTTTTTTTTTTTTTTTTTTTTTTTTTTTTTTTTTTTAATTGTAATTTTCCTATGATACTTCGTATGTCTATTTTGATTGTTTTACTTTATCAGGAACTGAGTTATCAGGTGAGTGGGTGATTTTGTCTTTTAATATGGAGGTTGTCTAAATCAATAATTACTCTTGTCATTAATGATAATAATAAGTATTTGTTGGTACTTTTAGACCTCATATTGGTACAATATTTTACCAACATGATGAGATCTATTGTCATTAATGACAAGAATAATTATTATTGTCGTGTACTTCATCTTTAGTATGTGAGGATGGAAATAAATTAGATTGGTATTTTGACTATTGTTAGCCAAAATGTAAATGAGGCTAAGAACACGATAAAAAATAAAATTAGACGGTCTTTTTAAGATGGTTAAAAGATTAATCTATCAAGCTTTTATGTAATAGAGTTGTTGAATAGCTTTCGGACTTTCATGTGTAACTAGGTTAAGATTCAAGTGTCTCCACCCTCATAATAAAAGGGAATTTTTAGATACCTTCTCCTTACCTACAAAAATATTTATGACATCGTAAATTAAAGATCTAGAGAGTAAGAGATACATTGATACAATTAAAGATGTGGAGGGCCAAGAGTTGGGAGTGATTAATGGGGGTCATGAAACTCATGAGTGAAGCAATAAAACGGGAAAGCTAACCCACCCAAATTGTGATCCAAATCAACATTGCATAATTTATGGAGCATTAAAGATTTTCTGACGGATTTAACAAATAGTACTGTTTGATTAGCATATAGCAACAAAAGAGAGTATAAAATTCCTTGCCTAAATCATTACGATTTACATAATTAATTGCATTATCTAGTAAGGACAAACTATATATATCTAGCTCAGCTTATTACTACCTATTTTTATTTGTTTTTGGGTGCAAATCTGGCTTAGCTATTTTTCATTTTAGTTATTCACTTATTTTCATCAATATATTCTAATTTACTATTTATATGGTCAAAGATTATAATTGTACTCACCTATAATAAATTATATAAAGTTTATGTGGTCAGACTTATCAAGTATAGATCCATTTTTAGATAGTAAATTCTCTCTCGATCTTTTTTTTTTTTTTTTAATTTAAATTTCTCTTGATAAGACAAGGTTCAGTCTTGACTCTTGAAAGAAAACTCTCCTAATCTTAGTATATTTTTCCTTTAAAAAAAATTAATAAGAATTTTTTTTTTCTTTTTGAGTTCTTATAGACTTATAGTATGTGCATATTAATTTATATATTTGTAAAATCAAATTTTTCATATTATTTACGCATATGAAATTAAAGATATTAGGAAGCTATATATGCTATACTAATAACATATACTAATAACATATTTAGGTACATTTAAAGCTCAAAGACAATGAGGCTCAAAGCTAGCTAGAAGAGCTTGCCACCCTTTTCCCATGCCTAGATTCCATAATTTAATTCTAGTTTGGACTTTTTTAGGTAGCTAGGTGCATGCATAGATACTTGGAGGAGTTGAAGTTTTATTTTTGTAATTTAATAAGAGTAGGAAATAACATGAAAAATCACTAGTTTTTAGCCCGTATAATGTACACTTTTATCTTACTTCTTCTAATTTTAGTGTATTTTTTGTTGTTTAAAAAAAAGGAACAATTGAAATTATAGTCATACAAGTGCTAAAGAATATACATATTTCTCAATATATTGTTAAAAATTTATTCCTACTTCATCCATGGAAGTAAAAACCCTTATCCTGTTTAGATGAAAGTGATATTAGGGCAACGTTAATAATTTAATTGGTTGCATAAATAAAGCATAGTACGAAAAGAAAAGAAGGAAAAAAAAAACTCATTATTGCACTTTTCTTCTATATAAAATAAAAATTTACTTGCATTTTTCCACATACATCTTTTGAAACTTTTTCCTAAAATGGTTAGAAGTTGGGAATTATTTGGGGACGAAATGACTGCTAAGGAAAAGAAGTCAAAAGGATGGGAACAAAAGAGAAAATGTGCCAACAGAAGTTCAGCAATGCATTATATCTTAGTCACTTAGTGCAAACATATAGCTTCTTTCAGCCATTTAGGTGTGTAAAGAGTCATAAAAGATAACTAAAAAAAAAAGGTATGTAATTAATTAATTTTTTTTTTCTTCATAATATATCTCCTCAATAATCTAACGAACTATATTGATTGACAATTTGACATCAATATCTTAATACATACTTTGATATAGGTTGATCTTCTATGATGTTGCAAAACATAATTAAAAATCAATACTTAAATGACTTCTACCTTTTTGTGTGGAAAATAAATTCATGAACAACTTTGGTAGGAGTATTATATTATTTGATTAGCCGTAAATTAAACTTTTCCAAAATAGCTGCCTACTTTAGTGATTTTTCCTATTGATAAACAGGTAAAAGTATGTAATAAAGAATTAAATAAAGCAATTAAATGTTTAGATAATAGCATAATAGTATAATACTAATACTCGGTAATCCTTAACTTTTATCCATTTCAAAATAGATATTGATTAATAAAAAAATCTTCCTAACTGCATTAAAAAATTAACAAAATAATAATGTCTCATGTCATTTTTTTTGTGTTTGTTTGACGTGCTCACGTCATATTCTTGAATGCATGACTAGCATAATTCCAGCTTGCCGGACCACGAATAAAATTGATACGGAATGACGGAAATATTGAACAACCAATTTAATTAGAGAAAAAGACAGATATATCTTTTAGGATTATTATGAACAAAGAGAATACGAGAATCATTCAGTAGACGACGATTAGTTTATCTTGTTAAATTTTAGAGAATATTATATTCTGTTCACATGATATATCATTTATAACTTTTTAATCATATATACACCTATATAAAATATGTGTATCACCTAAATAATCGCCATTATTTTTGTTCTTTTGCCTTATTTTGCTATCGTCATGTAGTGTGTTGTTTGACAAAATTTTAATGAGATTGACTACTCGTTTTAAGATCAAATTTGCGAAACTAGTGAAGGTGGATTAGTGATGAGATAGTAGGAGTACAATTTGTAGTTGGAATTGTCCAAATATACACTAATCGGTAATTATAAAAAGATTCCGCAATCCATAAAATTAGGGTTAGAAATAGAATAGGTTCTGGCTTTTGGTAAGGTAAGCTTCTAGATCAGTCAAAGATAATCATAAAAGACCATATTCTGTTTCTGGCTAATATATGATACCATTTTATTTGCCCATGTTGATAGCTCCATTTAATTCTCTCATCACATCAATCAAATTGACCACAACTTTGTCTTTATTTTTTGGATTTAATGACTATTATTATATTATTATTTTATTGTAAACCAAGAACATGTCATGTATCAAGACTAAATATAAGGATGAATGGAGGGGAACTAAACTAAACCTGACACATGCAGAGAAAAGGGACAGATCTATATTAATCTCCATTTAATGACGAAGTTTAAAATATTAGTGGGGATCAAATATGAGTATATATTATTAAGTGAG